TTTAGATAGCCATCCGTAGGAAAGAATGGCACAGACCTTACAGATAGCACTACTAGGATTTTACTGTAACTTCAAGGGTACCAAAGACTTTCTGGGGTATAGTTAATTTGCAAAATAAAATACCACAACTGAGCACATAACTTTCTTCCTTAACCAATTAGTTGTACTGAATATAACCTACTGAGTTAGAAGAACAAAGATTAACTTAGTGTTGGATGAAGTAAAATTTGAAAAACTTGAATGAGGCACAAAAACAAGGCAAATTTCATAGTAAAGTAAGAAACTCAATAGTAAATATTTCAAATTCTGGATTGATTACTGATATTATGAAAGATATAATTACACATAATGGATTAAAAATTAAAGGCTTTAGGAAGTATGAAAAAGTAAGCCAAAAAGTAGAGAATAATTACTCTCGGGTTGGTTGATTCCCCATTCAAAAGAGCCCTGGTATGATGTGACAGCTGAAGTGAGATTATTGATTTAAGAGAAGTAGGTTCATAATACCATATTAAATGTTGATTTCAATATAATTTCAATTACAGCAGAAATGAAACAGTTCAGACCTACCAACCAAACTTTGAGGCACAGAGTTTATAAACCCAATACTCCTAAAACTTGACAGCAAACTTCCAAAAACAAGTCATTCTTTTGTGCACATGAAACATTCACAACCCCTTGTGAAAATAATTTTTACAACAAAAATGAGTTTTGAAATTAGAAGATAAAAATTCAAAATAACTTTCTATCCAGAAGGAATTGATAACATTTACAATTCCTCCCAAGAAAATGAAATATTTAGGTATAAACATAACAAAATCTGTACAGATCTGTACCTTGAAATTTATAAAATAATTATGAAAGAAATCGAAGATGACCTAANTATTAAATTTGCAGCACTTCGTAAATGATGAGATTGCTTCCTGCCTTTATGGATGTATTTTCCTGTTATTTACTTTCAAACACTTACTGAAAGTTTAAAGTTTCTAGCAATAAATACAATTGAAACAGACAAAAATAAATAACTATTCAGGGTATGAAAGGGTCTTGAGAGCAAAAGTTAGCAATTCTCTGCATTACATAACTAAAAAATGTTTTTCTGCTATAAAAGGTAGGCTGTGCTTATGTTGCAGTTTTATTTAAATGTTAAATACTAAATTAATAGTAAGTATAACTACTAATACTAAAATAAATATCTTAGAGTGGGGATGCTACTTTGACAGGACACTATTCAATAAATTTATTGAAGTAAAAGTCAAAAACAAAGGTTTAAAGTCAACTCTAATTAAGGAAGTTAATATGCATAGTCTTATTTAACTGTCTGCCTTTTGTACAGAAAAATGAAGCATAACATAAGAGGAATCATTCTAACTGATGTTAAGGCTTACTATGGAGCCATCAGTGGAGAGACAGACACATAGATCAATAGAACAAAACAGAGAATATAGAAATAAGCTCACAAAAATATGCCCACTTGAATTTTGATAAAGGTACCAAAGTAATCCAATGGAGGAAAGATAGGCTTTTCAACAGATGATGCTGGAACAACTGGGCATCCACAGACAAAAAAAACCAAAAAAACCCTTAACTTAAACCTTACACCCTATACAAAAATAAGCTCAAAATGAATCATGAATTAAGTGTAAAACATAAAAGCATAAAACTTACAAAACATCAAGTTATATATCTTAAGTATACACAATTTTTATTTGTCAATTATACTTCAATAAAGCTGAGGAAAAAAACTTTTGGAAAAAGCATAGGAGAAAGTCTTTGAGGCAAAGGGCAAAAGGGAGGGATAGGCAAAGTGCTCTTAGACTTGACACCAAAGCACAATCCATAAAAGAAAAGGCTGAAAAACTGGACCCCATCAAACTTTTTCTCTGAAAGATCTTGTGAAGAGGATGACAAGACAAGCTACAGACTGGAAGAAAAAATTTGCAAACCACATATCTGACAAAGAACTTTTAGCTAGAATATATAAAGAACTCTCAAAAACCAACAGAAAAAGCACAATCAATCCAATTAGAAAATGGGCAAAAAATATGAACAAAATGAATAGATGTACAGATGATAACTAAGCACATGAAAAGGTGCTCAACATCATTAGCCATTAGGAAAATGCAAGTTAAAACCACAATGAGATGGTGTTACAGACCTGTTTAGAATGGCTAAGATAAAAAAACGGTGTTAACATCAAATGCTAGCAAGGATGCGGAAAAATTGGATCACTTATACATTTCTGGGGGGAATTTAAAATGGTACTGCTACTCTAGAAAAGAGAAACAAACATATACTTAACAACTGAGCAAGTGCACTTTCAGGCATATATCTCAGAGGAATGAAAATTTATGTTCACACAAAACTCTGTACCTAAATAGTCATAGCAGCTTTGTTAGTTAATAGCCCCAAACTGGACACAAACTGAATGTCCCTGAATAGGATGTACCATATCACTGTGGTACATCCATACTATCGAATACTACTCAGGACTAAGAAGGAAATACTGATACATGCAACAACTTGGATGGAGCTCAAAGGAAAAAGTGAAATCTGCCAAAGTCAAAAGGTTATATAGTGTATGATTTCATTTACACCACGTTGTTGAAATGAGAAAATTATAGAGATGGAGAAATTAGTGGATGCCATAGGTTAGACAGAAGGGAAGGCAGGAGGTGGCTGTGGCTGTAAAAGGGTAACACTAGGGATCCTTATGATGGACTGTTCTGGATCTTGACCGTGGTAGTGGTCACATGAATCTATATATGTGATAAAATTGCAAAGAGCTAAATACACACACACACACACATGTGAGCAAGTAGCAAGTGCACTTTCAGGCATATATCTCAGAGGAATGAAAATTTATGTTCACACAAAACTCTGTACCTAAATAGTCATAGCAGCTTTGTTAGTTAATAGCCCCAAACTGGACACAAACTGAATGTCCCTGAATAGGATGTACCATATCACTGTGGTACATCCATACTATCGAATACTACTCAGGACTAAGAAGGAAATACTGATACATGCAACAACTTGGATGGAGCTCAAAGGAAAAAGTGAAATCTGCCAAAGTCAAAAGGTTATATAGTGTATGATTTCATTTACACCACGTTGTTGAAATGAGAAAATTATAGAGAAGGAGAAATTAGTGGATGCCATAGGTTAGACAAAAGGGAAGGCAGGAGGTGGCTGTGGCTATAAAAGGGTAACACTAGAGATCCTTATGATGGACTGTTCTGGATCTTGACCATGGTAGTGGTCACATGAATCTATATATGTGATAAAATTGCAAAGAGCTAAATACACACACACACACACATGTGAGCAAGTGTAAAACTAGTGAAAGCTGAATAAGGCTGATGGATTATATCAATGCATCACAACCAATTTCCTGGCTGTAATATTACATTATAGTTATGTAATATGTTACCCCTGGGGGAAACTTGGTGAAAGGTATACAGGAGGGATCTTACTATATGATTTTCTTACATCTGCATGTCATTCATTCTACAATTAACTCAAAATAAAAAGTTTAAGAAATTTAAAAATCTAATATAAAGAAAAAAATTGAGAGCACTATACAGTTAACTACTTCAAAGACATCATTAGATGACTGATTTTCATGCTCCCATGTAAGCAGCCACATAATTTATCTGCATCTACAACTCAGAATCTACAGGTTTCTCTCATTTTTCCTCCCTTCCTTCTTTCTCCTCCCTCCCCCACCACTCATCAACCCCCTTCATAACTGGTTATAAGAGAGAACTGCAGTATATAAGGGTGTATATGTGTGTGTGTTTGTACTGCAGTTTCATGTTCTCTCTATATATGTCCCTTCCTTCTTTCTCCTCCCTCCCCCACCACTCATCAACCCCCTTCATAACTGGTTATAAAAGAGAACTGCAGTATATAAGGGTGTATATGTGTGTGTGTTTGTACTGCAGTTTCATGTTCTCTATATATATATAGTTTTATACACACACATACCCAGTTATGTACCATATTTATTAATTAGCATTCCGAGCTCTTCATTCCTAATTTAAAAATCCATTATGTGGCAGATTTTAATTACCCTTTAAAAATAATTAAAATGTCAGTTATTTGCTGTTTATGGCCATAACTGCTTCCAGTCCTCACTCCCACCCCACTTCCTGGGCAAGTAGTCCTTAAGAAAAGTTTCCATATGTTTGCTTTGCACTTTGAGCCGAGCATTGGTGGAGCTTATATAATAGGATATTTTCTGTGTACTGAAACAGAAGATAATGATTACACATTTTGGAGAATAAACTAGGCACTTTTTCTGGCCACTGATGTATGCTATATTTAATAAGCCATTGCCCCAGGCATGACATTGGTATACTGAGCATGGCATATTATACAGACTAAGTACTGTAACACTCCATGTATTAAAAACACCTAATTAATATAGGTGAACTTTCTTTGCTCAGAGAGCTCTCATAGCAGGCATTATTCTTATACTTTTTTCCTACTTTTACTTTCCAAACTACTTGTCAATTCTAAGCAACAGAACCTGACTCACTCTTCTATATGAAGAGAGAGGGGAAAGAAAGAGAGAAAGCAGGTGGCATCTAATAATAGCTCCCTGTGTAAAAGTAATGAGCTAGGGCTCTTTCCCTCTCTCCATTCAAGAAAGAAATATTTTTAAGAGATCTGCTGTATTCTCAGACTAGTTATTCAATATTCTCCCACACACCTGCATATCAGTTTTTATTTTGGGGACCAGGGGCACACCCTAGGTCTATGGAATTAAACACCCATCAATCAACATGTGGCTCAATGTATACAGTCTTTCACATCTTTCTTTTAAATATGCAATCTTAAACCTTCCCTAATCTTGTACTCAGAAAGATAACACTAAAAATAGTTTTTATTTCTAAACAACTACCAGACTATTATAAGCAGTTTAAATAGAGCACATTAAATGCCTACAGATAAACAATCCAAGACAGTACAATTAGAAGCTGCAGAAATTTTACCTTAATTCTTCTCTCGGTGTCATCTAACTTTAACTCTGCTGAAAACAGTTTCTTTGCCAAATCATCTCGTTCAGGTAGGTGCCTGGCTTCAGAGATCTTTTTCAGTTTCTGCAAGGAATATTTTGTCCTAAATAGTTCACCTTCTGTATCTTTCACCCTTTTCTCAGTTGCCCGTTCTTTCTCTTGAGATTTTCTTAAGCGTTCTTTGAGTGCTGTAATCTCATTGTTATGACGAACTATAAGTTGTGAGATTTCATTTTCTGTATCTTCAAACTTATTCAGGGCTTTTTCCTGTCTGTACTGAAGCCTTTTCAAGGCCTTATTTTCTTTTAGCAGCTCGGCTAACTTGACCTGGAGTTCAGATACTTCATTCTGCAACTCATTGATTTTTATCAGTCTTGCAGAAAGAACCCTTTTTGTAACGAGATCAGTATCTTTGCGAAGTGGCTCTCTATTCAGGCTCTGGGAGCGAAATCCCATTCGGACCCCCTTTCTGCTTGGTAGTAGACACTTAGGGCTTGGTTTCCTAAGGACTAAAGAAGAAAAAATAACATCAAGTGAAAGCTGTACCAAATGAGCTATTATTTATTCATCCTAACACAAGTGTATCTATAACATTCATTAGTTATTTTTGTCCTGAAAAAAAGGATTTTTACAATATTTAAATATCAGGTTTTATTTACAGCTCTTAATATGTTTCTATTAAGAAAGGTTTGAAATCCTTTAAGGTCAAAAATATTTTAATCTATTGAAAATGATATCCTAAAAATTTATGGATTATTATACATTGCCTTAAAAGGTGGCAGCATTGAACTTTAACATTTTTAACTTTTTAGATAAGATGGCAAATCAGAATTCAAACATGTGTGTCATCAGTAGTAGCATAGCACATAATAAACATTGAACAAAACACTATGATATTCAAGTCATTTGTGACAAGATATTTGAGATTATTTGAGATGTGAAAACATATGCTTTCTCTAAATTAATTACAACTCTTTATTTGGGAAAACAGGATGATAGCATATTGTACAGTGAGAAGATTTGGGTTTGGGACTCAGATTTACCAATGAATAACTCCTTGGGCACTTCAATTAAGCCTTTCCAAGTCTATTTTCCCTACCCATAAAATAAGGATAACACTGTCTACATAATTAGATTGTTCTAGAATTAAATGAGGTATGCATATAAAACAGCAATTTCTATACATTCTCTATTAGTAATAATAAATTACATCCTACTTATCAGTGAAAAAAATGGCAAACAGCAGTACAGATGTGTTTCTAAATGCTTTCTTAGGGGATTTCTTTTGTGTGATGTTCAAATCAAAAACATCTGACAATTTGAGAACAAGATAAAAACAAAAAATCACATTGTAAAAAAATAAGCATATGCAATCTCTAAGTGTACATATTAAATCACAACATTTCTTGAAAATTTGGAATAGTATTTTTTTTACTGAAAGTTCATTAAATGTAAGCCTCAACATTTAGAGTACCTGTCCTTTAAAAGAGGCATCTGGAAGTCTGCCACAGTTGAGAATAATAAACTTTAATCTCCAAGGTGACTGCATTTTTTTCAAGGAAGAAATGCATTCCAGAGTGAAAAAAAAAGAAAAACCTATAAGATCCATTCTTTCCCTCCCCATCTTGCTAGCTATGGATACCTGATTCCATTATGTAAGCGAGTAAAGAATAACAAGTAATTTTTACAATTTAACATTATAAAGTTTCATTTAAAAGATGGAAGATTTTATATTAGCTGTTTTGAATGTGTACTGATTTGGGATTCCAGCTCTACAAATGATTGAATACATGAAAGGAAGTGGTATTAGAAAGAAATGAAGGAATAGCTAATTGCAACTTTGAAATCATGCAATCCAATATGGTAGCCATTAGCCACATGTGGCTACTGAGAAACCTGAAATGTGGGCAGTCCAAATTGAGATATGTTGTAACTGTGAAACACACACTGGATTTTGAACACTTAATTTAAAAAGAAAGAATGCAAAATATTTCACTTTATGTAGAAATGATAATATTTTGGATATGTTAGGTTAAATAAAATGTTACTGAAATTAATTTCACCTGTTTTTCTCTTTTAATGTGGTTACTAGAAAATATACAATTACATATGTGGCTTGCATTTGTGACTTGCATTATATTTTCACTGGACAGTATTGCTTTACAACGTAATTCTAAATTTTGAAAGTTTATCATTTCAATTTTCTTTCTTTCCTAATGTACTGAGTTAACAGAGTTTTGTCATATATGCTATTACAGAATATGTATTCAGCTCTTGGAATGACAGCAACTTTATACATAAAAATGATTATACATAAAGATCAATGTCATGGTTCCAAATCTCTGACTTTTATGTATAAAATTACATTGCTCAATAAACAAGATTTTGTACAAATAGCAATTTGTTTCATTTTAAAAGTTAAAACCTAAATAGTATAAGAATAAGAACAAAAAATTTTCACTAATACTTTATTTCAACTATTTAGTAAGATACAAAAGGGTTTCCACAAACAACTTTTTTGACATCCTAAAAATCAGAATATTTATTTTTAGCATATTCTGTTAGTATGATGACAAACTTATCATTAACCTGAACCAAAAAATATTTCTCAGCTTTAACCTAACTTTTTAATTTGCATTTTTAAAACTATCGAGTTGCAATACAGTGCTAAAAGGAGTGAGAAGAAGATAATTGGCTGTTGTGTATGTCATTCTTCATCTGCCCCTTGTTAAGTTGCTACCAATAAGTGGGTGGGAAAGTATTTCTTTTATTCCTTCAGATGTTAAAAATAAAATATGAGTCATTTAAAAAAACATGTAGTAAAAATAAACTATGCATCTACTAAAAAATCAGGATATGTTTTATTACTGATAAAACAATAGAATAAATATGTAACATACAGAAATGTATAATCAAAACTATTATTAAATTTTGTCATTATGCATATAAATCCTGATAGAGCACTAATTTTATTTTTAAAAATAATAATATATGCTGAAAATTAAAAAGGAGGGTGAAGGAAAAATAATACTATAAAACATACAAATCCGTTATTTAAGATGCTGTTTTAGTCATGTTTTTTCCATAGTTTAGTCTACATTGGTGATTGCAATTTAAACTATTAACAGTGTTTAAAGAAAGGTATCAGTTTGGTCTTGTTGCTTGGTCTAAGGCAGACAAATTACCACAGATTTTAATTTAAAAAACTGCAAAGCAGAAAACAGTACAAGTCATATTGAAGACAAGAAATGAAATTTTCTGGTTGATGCTGGAACTGTTTTTCACAGCTTTTTCTCAATTATCTTCTCAGATAAGGTAAGGCTTACGAAGTTCCGACTCCTGAATTAGGTGGCCTTCTAAATTGCTTCTGGGGAAGGAGGGAAAAAAATTAAAGTATTCCTACCAATAGCATCGTAGGTATGTAAACTGTTTCTTGGGGAAAATAGGTATTTTCTAAGGTTCAACTCTAAGATCTTTTTGTTTGTTCTTAATTATACAGGAAAGTTTAATAACAGATTGTGCTCTCAACTACCAAATCATTACTACAGCCTCTTAGTGAAACAGATTTGGAGGAAGAGACCAAAAAAAAAAAAAAAAAGCAGCATTACTGTACTTGCAGGAAACAAAAGAAAAAGAAAAGGCACCTAATTGTTAGAAGTACAGATATCTCCAAGAAGGTAGACTGGGGGTCCATGAAAGGTTGTTTTCAAAAGCAATATATATTCTTTATAGTTTTTGATGAGCAAATATTACTTTTCAAAGTAAAAATTTAAGAAGGCAAATTTCATTCTACCCTTGCTTAATCTTTTCAATGACTAATCATTCCCCACAAAAATAAACAGGCATTATTACATTAGCATAGGATGCCAAGTATTTCATGATGTGGCCCGTTTTCCTTTCAGCATCTAATTTTACCACTCCCTGCCCTGCAGTCTAAACTCTTACCATTCCAAGCTACTGCTGTTATAACTGTGCTGCATTTATTGATACATACTATAATTACTTCATTTGCCTCAGCTTATTTTTTTCTATACTGTTCTTGTAGTCCTTATGTATTTTGTTACTATACACAATGGAGTTTACTTGACCACAGATTTATTAAGATGAAGAGATTTATAGAATATTACATACTCAAATATGTATTAATACCTAGTTCCAGACTAGTAATATTTTAATAAGAGAAATTATTTCTAGTGATTAACCCTTTTTCCATTGTAACACAGTTTAACAGAAAGTAAATTAGACTGGTAGTCCCAAGTTCCAAATTCCAGTCCAAATTCATTAATTTGAACTTCTGCAGTAAGAACTGCATTATCTAGAGTAATTTTATTCAGTCTATAAAAATGCCCCTTAATCCCTTTATATCAATGACTTTTCCTACTTTTTAGAAATGAAGATACAGAAAAGTACAAATATTTTGTGATTTTTTTTTTTTTTTGCCTTTATAGTAGCTCAGAAACTCCAAGGCAAGCATTAATTTAGGAAGAAGAAAAAACAAAAATGAGAAGGCTTAACTATGTTACTTTCTTTTGTATATTGTATGACT